CCCCGAGGGCAGAACTGAAAAATGCAGTATTTGAAAGTGGCGCCCGAATTGCAGCATGGCGCCAGTTGTCCAAAATCCTACGGTACCAAAGGAGGGGTTTGGAAAAAGGGTGCCAGGCCGAAAACGGGATGCAGCCGAAACAACAAAAGATAGACCAGGGATCGAGCCCTGGCGAAGTCCGTAACACTTCCCCTGTTGTTGCTGCCTCTCCCTAAGCTGGCGGAACAGATATCTGTCGCCCTCTGGTCCTGAGGCCAAGTGGGCTATCGGGCATCTAGCCGATCGCAAGATCCGGTCGTTCTCACTAGTGGTGTCCCTATCGCTCATATGCTACAGAGCTGCACACCGTCTACACTAGGACACACAATGGATGCCTACCGCAGCGACATGTACAGACCGATATAAATAATCGGCAGCTATATTAGAGACTAAACATTTGAGTCCAGCAGGTAAGTTCAGATTCCTACAAATAATACTATTCTACTTTGCCTAGCTCGCAAACAGAAAGCACAATGAACAGAATCAGTTCTAAACTATGTTGTCTGTCAGATGTCAATGGCAGTACATCTAACTAGTCAAAATAAAAGTAACATCATTTGTTGGGTCTGTTTGCAGCATGGGATCTTACTCAAACTTATCACCTGGAATCTACCCCTTCCCCAATTCCCCTTGATTGTCACTTGACGTCAGCGTCCCTGAGCAATCGGGTTTGGCGTGCGTGACTAAAAGGTGTGCACACGGCCCACCCCTGTGCCCCGAGTAGCTGCCCCGAGTGGCTGCTGAGCTGGCCAGCCCTGCACTGTGTTTATCCTCGCGTGCAGCGGGCCTTACACCAATTGGCTGATCCAAAGGCAATTTAACGACCGCCCCCAAGTGTCATTAGGAATTATTTTACGTCGCAGCAGGACGACGATCATAGCCAATGGTTTCCCCAGCCGGTGTTTATTTATAGACGCCCGACACTCGTCTCTCCCATAGGGCTGGCCGGCCCTTCAGTACCCCTCTATGAGCGCAGCAAGCAGACAAGGACAAAGCAGCAAAGCATGCATGCTCTACTCCCGGTGGGTTAGCATGGTGACCGTGACCCAGTGCTCCGTCCAGGGCCCTTCAGAAAGCACGCCCTCTCCTTCCAGATGCTCCACGTGAACAATGCCGACTCTAAAGGTTGAGCGCACACGACACCTCCCATGAGAGGACTCTCAAGAAGGAACTCACAACCTCACGGTAAGAAGTGATGAAGAGGGTAGATAAGGTTAAGAGCAACGTACCTCATTATAGCTGCTCCCAACCACAGATATTCTCACCAGATGACCTGATGGCTATTGCAATGACCAGTCACTGCATCGGCACAACCAGCATTATCTCGCCGTTCCACCTCAGCACCAATCAACCACCAAATAGTTCTCGTCACACTGCGAACACCCAATATACACACCGTAGCCTTCCTGGCGATTCCCCTCTCCTCCTGGGTCGCCACACCTTGTCTCCGCCCTCCTCACTACACACCGCCTACGGCCTCACTCACCAAGCAGACCGCATGCATGTACCGCATAGGCAGAAGACAAGCGCCAGAGGAGCGCAACGTATACCGAATTGCAAGGAAGATGAGCAATAGCGAACTTCAGCAATCAAACAGCATCATACGCATAAGACCAGATAGTCGTGACCTCGAACCAATAGCAGAATTGCATCACGAGTTTCACCAAATAAGAGCACACCAAAAGCTCATAATTGACAACGCTGGAATAGTCTCATCATCATCATCAACGAAGAACCAATGTTGATATCCTATCTGGCGCTCGGCGCCCAGACTACAGATGGCAGATCCTATCTAGCCTAGACTACAATGCCGAAGATGACGACAACAGCCGAAGTACGAGCAGATAGTGGCCAATGCCGCACGCTTCCAGCACCAGGTATGTCTCTCACATCACTCACAACCTCGTCCCCAACACACAGATGCCACATGCACCCAAGGACCACCCTGCGCCACACCCAGCTCACAGCAGCGCAGCTCGGCTATGGCTGCCTGCTCCTTCCAGCTCGCCCGTGAGCGAGTGAGCGCTGGCCAGCTTCAGCGCAGCAGCGCTTGCGCAGCATGTAGCCAGCACCCGAATGTCCAATGCGGAGGCAGGCCCTTTGCTATATGGAAGTGGCCTGCCTGCGTTCTGTCCCAGGCTGCGCTGGGCCTTTCCCAAGAAGCTTCCGGTAGGCCCCGGTAGGCTGAGGCCCAGTCCGAAACGGAGGTGGTTGCTTGTGCCCAACTGCCTTCGGTCTGTGTTTAGCCCACATCCCGTATCAAGCCCAGGGCCTGCCTTCGATACATGCAAACAGGCGGCCCAGGGCCTGGGTTCCTTTAACCAACTGGCACTGCGCAACTGCCTGGATTTCCTTAGTTGCGTGGTGGCCGAAATAGGGGCCCTCAGGTCCTCGTCGAGCCTGCCTTCACTTAGGGCGGCCGACGTGCTGCTTGACAGGGCCTGAAAGGGGCTCATCGAGGCTGTGGCCTCGCAATGATAACAATAGTAATAATAATAATTATAAGGAGAGGGGAACGGCGCTTTAAATCTCTCTTGCGTCGAGACATCACCAAAGCCATCGGGCAGGAACGATCTAGGTCTAGGCATGGATCTGAGGCTCCGTGCTCGACACCTTTTCCTTTTCCTTTTTTCCTTCACTTTTCTCTGTATTTCTCTTTTACGTATAGTGACTGTTGCCACTGCACCCACCCTATAACCCAGCTACAGGAACCTGGCGCGCAGTTGAGAAGACATCACCGGCTATCGCTATCACATCCCTGTGTCTAGTTCAGATCACGACCATCGAGGCCTGACGCGCGGCGGAGTAAACCATGCCACCCCTTTCTCCTACCCAGACAAAACCCAATTGGTATTTTCAGCTTCGGGACGGCTCGCAGTAAGGTAGGGTGTCGAGCCCACGTGGTCCCATCGGAAGGCCTAGTAACAAGGCCTAGTCTGTCAATTCCACGCGACCCTGCTGACTGATACCAGGCCTGCAGTGGTAAGTGAGCGGATGCCTGGTAAGCAGCGATGAGTGGGTGGATGCCTGGTAAGCAGTGGAGAGTGGGTGGATGCCTGGTAAGCAGCGGAGGGCCGGGACACCGCACCCTCCGACAGTGCGCGCTCGCACGCTGAAGTGAGAGACAGAGAGAGAGAGAGAGAGAGAGAGAGAGAGAGAGAGAGAGAGAGAGAGAGAGAGAGAGAGAGAGAGAGAGAGAGAGAGAGAGANGAGAGAGAGAGAGAGAGAGAGAGAGAGAGAGAGAGAGAGAGAGAGAGAGAGAGAGAGAGAGAGAGAGAGAGAGAGAGAGAGAGGGACTCATGTCCGGTAGGCCGAAGACCCATTCATCAAAAAATTTTTGGGTTACTTGTGGCAGATTGTTTACTTTTAGGCCCCGTATTTTTCAGGGGGCGCCCGGGACCCGATAAATGTCCTGGACTGCCCCCTTTTTTTTTTCGAATTTTTCATCGGGCCCCTCTTTCCGGACGTTCGAGACCGGACACCGGACCCAGACATTTGGCTCCGGACTGTCTGGAACCCGGTCCGGACATCCGGTCGGTTACCATGTTTCTGAGCCTATTGAAATGACTCGAGAATTTCGTTATTTTGATTTTTCGAGTCCTTTGGCCCTGGAGATGGATAGAGCTATATAAAAAACATGTAATCCCGGGTGAGAAGAGAGCATGAAATTTATGAACAAATTTGCTGGAGCGGAACTATCTTAATGTACTGCCAATCTGTTGGGTAGTTTGTACTATGGAGCGGCTTTGGTGTCTCCTTCTCCAGTGCTCAAACCAACTGAAACCTGTGCCAGGGGTGTGATTTCGACATGCACAGCATTCTATTCAGAATTCCTTTGCAGAAGGTTGAAATTTTGAATGCGTGATGGACGTTTTGTCTTTTTTTTGGGGGAAAGAGATGAACACAAACTTCACGAAGGGAAGCATAAAAGACAGAGTATTTTCCTTACCTTGGGCGATTGTGTGCAGGGATGTGCTTGATGGGCATATCAGATCTACAACGGTGGAGGTGAAGAATGAGGATTTGCCTCAATATTGGAACGTCCATGCAGGGAGGACCGCAGCCTTGGGGCCTTCTTTAGCAGGGCATCCTAAGCAAAAGAGAACATCTTCACAGCTGTCCAGGCTTGATTCATCTGTATCCGAGAGTTCTGACACTACACCAACAACCGGGCGAGGCAGCATGCCAACACTTATGGAACAACAGTCTTTTGATGAAGGTGGCACCAGACTCGAGGATACACCATCAGCTTATTTTGAGCTGGAGCTCACAGAAGGTCTCCGAGATCCGATTGTGAAGGCAGCAGGAGCTTCTGGACCGTCGGATGGAGGAACCCCTGTTCGTCAAAAAGGATTCTGGAGACGTCAGTGGAGGCAATTTGTAGATGAGATGTACGAGAATTATGCTATAATCCGTGACAAGTCTGGGCGTGAAACACCAGGATTTTTTGCGCAGCTGCTGCTGGTCATGCGAAGGTGAGTTGTGGGCACACAGCTGCCTTTTCTTGTACGTTGTTATTCTTTGTTTCCTTCCTCGTGATGAGGGAAAAGGACTTTCACAAGATTTGACAACCTAACAAGCGGGCAGCTATGGAGCTCAGGAACTGTCCATTTGTAATGAGGTATTCACTAGCAACCGCCTTAGAATTTAGACTTTCCTTTGGTAACGAGGTATTCATTACTGATTGCCATTGAATTTGGACTTCCCGTTGGTCATTATTTACTCATCAATTGATCATACCTGTTTCTGGTGGAAAGATTCTCACCCAGTTAGTTTAGGACCAAGACAAGGACAGACTGTTCTGGAATACCGGTCAATCTGGGTACACGATACGGCAGCGCTCCACATAAGTAGCCCAGTTCTGGGTTTTCCTTCATTTTATGGTGCAGCGAATGGTGGGAACGGAACAAGGTATGCAGTCTGGAGGACTGTTCGACGGTATTTCCAAGTTATTTTGGGGCACAATGACAGGGGTTAAGGGGGAGGGCTGAACGGAACAGGGGACAATGTATGTAAAAAGATAATCGTGACACCAAGAAAAAAGGGGAAAAAAAAGGAAACAGATGGCAGGTCGACATGCATGTGCAGGTTGTCGTAAATGGAATTTTGAAACCTTGAAATTGTATGAAGATGATGATAATGATGATGATGATTTTCCAGCCTCTGTCACATAATGCTAGATGTGATGCGAGCGAAGTTGGTGCAGGGCTTGTAGGCCCCTACACGCCAGTGCCCATTGGTTTGGTGACTGCTGTTGTGGATGGGTACTGACATTCAGCAGTGTGGTGCCTACTGGCTTCAATGGTATTGATAGTCAGCCGGGGGGTCCAGAAAGTGTCCAAATGCGTGTCGAGTGTTGTGTAGTGGAGCGAGGAACATATTCTGTTGTGGATGGGTACTGACATTSMGCAGTGTGGCGCCTACTGGCTTCAGTGGTATTGATAGTCAGCCGGGGGGTCCAGAAAGTGTCCAAATGCGTGTCGAGTGTTGTGTAGTGGAGCGAGGAACATATTCAAATTTCAAACGGAACTGCCCTTGCATATCTGCACTTTGGCCTGCAAACATTGTAAAGAGACTACGGCTTACAAGGTCATGAAATGGTTCGAGCAACTTACGACCTCTGCAACTTTTTGAAGCACAAGCACAGCACAGGAAAACTGCCATGGAACAGGGGGGTTAGTTTTGACATTGTGTAACGTGCTCGATTGACAAGAAGGGACTGTCTCCTCGTTTTGTGTTTTTTGCGACAACAGGTGTGGTAAACAGAGATTAAGGGAGCCCTTACTGCAACTCCAGGACTATGTCATCCTTCTAATCACGGGGTTGGTCATGGGTCTTCTGAACCCAGTGAATGAGAATACCTTGGGAGCGGATATCTACCCAAACACCATGTTGGCTGTCAGTGAGTAGCTCTGTTCAAGCTTTTAGGCTTTTGCCCAGTTCCTCCTGCCCCTGTCTAGGCTCAATCTTTGGTACCGTCTTTACCTGAATAGAATGCCTGGTCATTATCACTGAACCTAGACTGAAAGTTAACCCGAATACGTTACTGAGTGGGCATTCTCTTCGGGTTACGACGTAGGTCTGAACGTGACCTTGTCTCCCCTGGATCACCTCCTTTTCCCTTGGCTTGCTTGTTCCCTTTGAAGTTCTCTCAGGTTCAATTGTTTAACTTGTTGGAAAGGAGCCCGAACCGTGAGAGACTGATTGAAAAAAAAAAGAAGTTGGGTTCACGGTCTCGCCGGTTGCAAGAATCACTCTTCATCTTCTTCTTCCTTGGGACCATTTCTTGATTTATGTGTGTCATCCATTCTTCTCTTGTTCCAATGGGAAACAAGTAGGAGTTATAGAAGTGAAGACCATAATAAGGCCTTACACACAATAGGACTTTCCTGGATGTGTCTGACAGACTGACCTTAATGAGGGATGGCTTTAGTTGTAAGATGTCATGCGTACGCCCTAAGAAACCCACAACCCACACAACATGAGTAGCCAACAGCTGTGGCCGAACCTTTTTTTTTTGTTGAAAAGACTCACTCGGCAGTGCCTCTATTCCGTGGGTAAATCTTGATAAGAAACATGGTGTGACCATTTGATGTCCCAGCTAAAATCAATGACAAGGAAGGGAAAAGCTCGGAATCCAATGGTTCCGGACTAGTTGATCATAAATATGCCGAAGTAGTCCCAACTCCAAAGCCAGCATAATGCCCAAGAATGCGCGCTCTTTCAACATCCGCAGTCTCCTTTTGGTCCCAATCACTTTATGGAGACTTCAACACTGACGTTTCAGTTGCTGGCTGTTATAGCCACCATCAACAGTGTATGACTCTCTCAGTAAGACAGTGAAGCGCTTTGCTTTTCTTCACAAACACGGCTTAACCAAGGTTGTGTTCAGACTGTCAAGGTCTAATGTATGGAACATGCTGTGCGAGCCCAGCGCGACAGTTGGCCTCAGCAGTATCTGCAATGAACTCCAACTGCCGTACATGTCATCAGCAAAGTCATGCCCATGCAAAAGACAAAGCAAGCATGTGAAGGAGATATCAGCTCAAACACATACAGCGAAGCGCTCGACCATTGTTTGCTGACTTCCGTGGACAATTTCTTCCTCCTCAACGCCCTTGTCATCATTTTCTCCTCTACCATCACTTAGCGTTCAACTGGAGGGCCTTCTTTATGTCTCTCTGAACTGCAAGGTCACAGCATAACTTTTCTAAGTTGAGTGGAGTGACAAAGAAGGTGGGGAGAAAGGGAAGAAATGAGGGAGGAAGGGGAGGGCTTCTCATGTCAATGATGATAAGGATGGTAGGTGATCCTGGCGTCCCTCTGATACAAATCAGTAATCTGGTCCCTCTCCAAAGCCTCGCTACGGTCCATTCAGCGTCACACTGCTGCCTTTCTGTGGAGGAGGAGCCACGAGTATCGCCATGTGCTCAGCAGGGCAGCATGGAGTTCGGTCATCCAGTCCAGGGATAAAGGGGGGCTGGGAATTATTGACCCTGCCACGCAGATAACGGCGTTATCCTTACAATGGATCAAGAGCCTTCTCTTTGAGCCCTGGCCGCCTTGGGAGGCCCTTGGTGCTGGAGCAGATTAGGAGATGCGCCCCCCGGACTCCGGCTGACATAGATCCGTGTAGGTGGTTGGGGGACCGGCATTGGCCAATACCCAAAAAGCCAGCCAGGTTGGGAGATAACGAGATTTTAGAGGCCAGGTGGGACCCTGTCACATGATCATTTCTGGTCCACCCTGCTGGCAAACTGGAGGCGCCTCCCCCTCCCCGACAAGGTACCCCCTCCTAGATGGGTGGAGGTGTTCAGGCAACCCCTCTTTGGAAACCGATGGGTAACGGACAACCACGGTAGGGTTCTGACCTCAGCTGATCGGCCGTGGAAGAATTGTGTCAGGCATGGCATCCTGAGGGTGGGGGATATATGGGATGAAGACAGGAAGGACTGGTTGACTGAGCGGCAGCTCACGGAGAGGATCAGGTATTTCCATAGGCCGGCCCAGGCTCTGGAATCCTTGGATCTTCTCTATCTCCTTGGAGCGGGTGAGAATCCTTAGCAGGGGTCCGACTCTGCAAGAGAGTGATTGGGTTGGACTTGGCCAGGGTTGGTAATATCTTGGACACTCATCCAGATGGGCAGATACCGGTCAACCTGTTTCAAGTGCATGGGGAAAACAGTCTCTCTAGGATGACCTGTATGAAACAGACTGGAGGCATAACACCCAAGTGTTTAGAATCCGAGTTCTAAAAGAAAAGTACCAGTGGGTGGCTTTCAGACCTGACACCTCAATAAAGGACTTGCCTTTTGACCCAGCAAACTGGGTATGGACTGTTCACACACGGAAAGGGGGGAATTTTTGCAGGCAGCTTCGCTCCTTAACGGTCAAGGCCGTGTACCATATGCTGTGCCCTTGTGTGGACTTGAAAGAACAGGTAGAGCACAGATGGATGAAACACCTGAACGTCGGAAAGGAGTCCTTGCGCCCGATTCAATGGTTCAAAGGGGTAAGAACACGGCCATCCAAGCAGCATCCTTGCTAAGTTGCTATGGCAGATTGAGCGCCGATGTTTACCAACTAATGACTGGCTGATTAGCAGAACGAGCCTTGAGCAGCAAGGGAGAGCCCTACCCTGGTGCAAGTTTGTGCGCTGCCGCCTACCCGTCCTGGAAAATTCCGGAGACTATTGAACATATCATGTTGCAGTGCCCGGGCTCTGTTTGGATTTGGCGCTGGTGGAACAGGATATGGCAGCGGTTTGGTATAGCGACTCGATGGCCATGTGACTGGAGGGCACTCTTGTGTGGGGTTTGGCAAGAAGAACTAAACACCACTTTCTCGAGCAATATGTTTGATGTGGGAAGGAGAATGATCCTTTGGCCCTCTGGTGGCGATGGTGTGTTTCCGAGATGGAGGGCGCCTGTCTGGCTGGCCCGACCTTCACAGAACAGATCAAGCTGCAGGTGCAAACAGCAATAACTATGCAACGGGAAAAGGCTAAATAAAAGGTGGGCAGCGGTTTGGTATAGCGACTCGATGGCCATGTGACTGGAGGGCACTCTTGTGCGGGGTTTGGCAAGAAGAACTAAACACCACTTTTGCGAGCAATGTGTTTGATGTAGGACGGAGAACGATCCTTTGGCCCTCTGGTGGCGATGGTGTGTTTCCAAGATGGAGGGCGCCTGTCTGGATGGCTCGACCTTTACAGAACAGATCAAGCTGCAGGTGCAAACAGCAATAACTATGCAACGGGAAAAGGCTAAAGAACAGGTTAAAACAATGCACACACGAACCGAAATTCACAAAGGACTCCAAAAATTCTTCCAAGACTGGCTGGGCGGGACATACAGGGGGTGGAGTTTAGAGGTGACCTGGGCTGGGAGACAGCGACAAGACCAACAAGAGACGCCCCACAAGAGGGACTACAGGCTAAGCTTTCACGATTGGACCAAGCTGGATGCCACGGTTCCCCTGTGCCCATTATCCGACTTCCGGACCTTTTCCCCCCGGAAAGCCTATCTCTGGTGGATTTGCATGAAATGCTACATTTTTGGGGACAAGGTGCTAGGAGACAAGCCACAGGATAGGCGCCCAGTAGCAGGGCGAAGAGGCACCAGCTGTAGCCCTTATTAGTCTCAAGAGATAACTCTTTTTCGCCGTGGTGTGATGTCGTAATGTGAAGGGATGCTGGACACAATTTCCAGCAGGTGTCGCTCCCCACCAATAGAATGGAGCCTGCGGCGAGTCTATTACCAGGTGGTGCTCACATCACCCAGGGTAATAACCCGCACCCATTTTTTTGTAAAAAAAAAAAAAAAAAAAAAAAAAAAACTGAAAGACAGTGATGAAACGAACTGTAGAAGAGAATGGAACGAGGACTATGTGAGACAGTGGCAACAGACAATATAAGGAGTGATGGGCAGTAAAGAACTTGAAACAAGCAGATTTTGACAGAATTTACTTGGCAAACTCATAGATAGTTGTGGATGCTCTGCTATTCTAGTTGGTCTGTAACAGGCGCGAGGCTGAGGGAGACAAGGAGAGCCGAGGGAGAGGAGAGAGAGAGGGAGAGAGTGAGAGCACACACACACACACTCACTCAACACGAACGAGGGTCGGACGCAGACACAGTGGCAAGGACACAAAGTCGAAGTCTTGGATTCCGAATGTCGAAACAGGAGCAAGTCACACTGAGTACGAGTACAGCAGCTGAAAACTGGTACGAGACCGGGTCCCCGTACTGTACGGGGCACCGGTATAAGTACCGGGTGTCCGGTACAGTACCTGTCTCTTATACACATCTAGATGTGTATAAGAGACAGGGGAGAGAGTGAGAGCACACACACACACACTCACTCAACACGAACGAGGGTCGGACGCAGACACAGTGGCAAGGACACAAAGTCGAAGTCTTGGATTCCGAATGTCGAAACAGGAGCAAGTCACACTGAGTACGAGTACAGCAGCTGAAAACTGGTACGAGACCGGGTCCCCGTACTGTACGGGGCACCGGTATAAGTACCGGGTGTCCGGTACAGTACCGGGGGCAGATCTGCAAAAGCCCCAAGGGCAGAACTGAAAAGTGCGGTATTTGAAAGTGGCGCCCGAATTGCAGCATGGCGCCAGTTGTCCAAAATCCGATGGTACTAAAGGAGGGGTTTTGGAAAAAGGGTGCCAGGCCGAAAACGGGAAGCAGCAGAACAGCGAAAAGATGGACCAGGGATCGAGCCCTGGCGGAGTCCGTAACACTATCCCCTCCCTCTAGAAGGCAACGTCCCGGCTGCCAAAAGTCATGAAGCCATGCTGAAAGCTGTGAAGGACGGGACGGGGCCGATCACTGGTCAACAAGTCGAAGGAGGGAGAGGGGTATAATGTAGGTGATAAGGCACAGAGTGTCGTGTTGGTGGGTTGTGAACAGGGCTATCCTACTGGTGGGCTAAGGGTATTGCAGGGAAACAGGATAGTCCTCTTGATATTCTAGAAGGGGGACCAGGTAACAGGATATCCTACTGATGTTCTACAAGGGTGAACAGGGGATAGGGTGTTCCTACTGATGTTCTACAAGGGTGAACAGGGGATAGGGTATTCCTATTGATGTTCTACAAGGGTGAACGGGGTATTTCTATTGAAATTCTATGGGTTGTCAGGGGATGAAAAATAAAATAAAAGAATTGCATGTTGCAGGTTCGAGGGCAATTTCACATGTACAAGAGTTGGGGTGTCTGATGGGATCTGGGTACACAGTCTGAGGTCTGTAATGGGTCAAGGGGTCTGGGGGGGTCTTCAAGTGTCTTGATCAGCAGCAGGAAAGGGGTCTTCGGAGGTCTTGAGCAGGTCCCAAAGTAGGCAGCAAGGCGGTCTTCAGCGGCTGTGACAGGAGGTAGTCGTAGAGGTAGTCCAAAAGGCCAAAGTCGAAGTGCTCAGGTGCGTCCGGTACATGATTGGCAATGGAGTCTGATCCTGTAGCAAGGGAGTCGCAGACTGGTACATGGTTCATGTGACAAGTAGCTGCTCCAGGGAGTCTGCGAGGCAGGGTGCCRGCCGTTGTAGCAGCATGGTGGCCAATCCAGCTGCATAATCTCCATGAACAGTGATGCAGCAAGCCATCGCCCTCGTGCGCATGCCATTAGATCCTTTATCGCCGGTCGTCACACAGGTCCACCAACATTGGACAAGATGGACAAGGAAGTGGAGAGGGCGAATGGGGCAAGGCTAGGCGAGGAACAAGGGCAGGTCAGGCATCAGAAAAGTGGGTCAAGGGCAAGGGTGGCTGTGGCGGGGGTGTGTGTAGAGCAAGGTGGCGAGATTGTAGCAGGGTTTAAGCAAGGGTTCAGGGTTTAGTCAGGGTATGGGCAGGGGGGGTAGCTAGGATGCAGGGTGGGAATGATCATAGGCGCGGACAAGTCTCATGGCATTCTTGAGATTTTCAAGGGGTTCCCATGTTGATTCTTCGTCAGGTTATCCGGTCCATTTGACTTTGTATTCGGTGATTGGTGACGGATGGTCTGCGACTTGGGTTGTTCTTCTTCCTATGATTGATTCGACTATGAATTCTGGTCCAGTGGGAAGCATGATAGGTGGAGGTCGAGGATATGGGCGATCAGCGAACTGAGGCGGGGATTYGTGGTATTCYTTGAGATATTCTACGTGGAAGACTGGGTGTACRYGGCTCATGTCAGGGGGTAGCTGGAGTTTRTAGTTCACGGKAGAGGTTTGTTCAATGATGGRGAAGGGACCGAGCCACTTGTTCGAGAGTTTCTTGGACAAGCCCTGTTCAGGTTCAAAGCGTTTGKYGGAGAGCCAGACTTTGTCCCCTACTTGGAAGGTGATATCACGGCGATGCTTGTTGGCTTGTTTAGCTTGTTGTTCCTGGGTGTGCTTGATTGACTCGGTTGCTTCTCTTAGGAGACGGTTCATTGTTGCAACCCATTCATTGAGAGAGGGACAGGGGGAGGATGGGTTGAGTTGCGAGGGGAGCAAGAAGTCAGAAGGCAAGCATGGGTGATAGCCAAGGTCAAGGTAGAAGGGGGACTTGCGAGTGGAAGGGCAAACGGCGTTGTTGTAGGCAATCTCGGCGGCGGTGAGCAGCTGATCCCCATCGTGATTGTGGGGATGACAATACTTCCGCAAGATTCTTTGGAGAGTATCGTTCATCTTCTCGATCTGTCCGTCGGTTTGTGGATGGAATGCAGTGTTGTACCTGAGCGTGGTTCCGTAGGCATTGAAGAGCTGTTTCCAGAATTGGGAGAGAAAGTGGGGGTCACGATCACTGATGATATTCTCGGGGAGGTCGTGGTGTCTGGAGACATGGTCGAAGAAGAGAATGACAATGTCTTTGGCGTTGTGCGAGGTGGTACATGGGATGAAGTCACGTTTGGTCAGGCGGCAAACAATAACGTAGATGCAGTCATGCCCGAGGTCGGTCTTGGGAAGACCGCACACGAAGTCCATGGAGACGGACTGCCAGCGGTGGGTGGGGATGGGCAATGATTGAAGCATGCCGGGCTTAGGCCGGTTCGAGGGGTTGACGACCTGACTCGTGGGGCACGAGCGGATGTAGGCTTTGACGTCAGCAAGGAGGGAAGGCCAATGGAAATAACGGGAGATGGTATCAAAGGTTTTCTGGAAACCAAGGTGGCCAGCGGTCTTGGCGTCGTGGTGCTTGGCCAAGAGCTGGGTGCGGAGGCCACGGGCGTCAGGGATGCAGAGTCGGCGGGTGCCTTTGGTTTCACTGTAGAGAAGGTTGTCGTGGAGGGCGTAGCCGGAGACGGGGTCGAGGTCACGGAATTTGTTGTAGATGGTGGAGAAGTCGGGGCAAGAGAGGTATCCTTGGGTGTAGCGATGGTGGAGTGATGGCAGGAGCTGGATGTGGGTCATGGTGGCGTAGACTTTCTCAAGGGGCTTGTGGTCGGGGCGGCGGGAGAGGGCATCGGCAACATGGTTGCTTTTGTCGAGGGTGTGGCAAATGGTGAAGGTAAATTGGGCAAGGAAGTCGAGCCAGCGGGCTTGGCGAGGGGTGGTCTTTTTTGGTAAGAATAGAGGAAACGACGGTGTTATCGGTACGGATGGTGAAATATTGCCCGTCGAGGTACGGGCGCCAGACTTTGAGGGCGTAGACCATGGCGAGGAGCTCCTTCTCGTTGGATGGGCAGTTCATTTCTGCGGGAAGGAGTTTCTTGCTGGCGAATGCGATGGGGTGCTCGCCGGGTGGGCATTGGGAGTGAGTGGGGGAGTCCTTGATAGAGGGGGTTTCCACGGGGTCGGGGGGAAAGTGCTGGGATAAGACGGCCCCGATGGCAAAGTCGGAGGCATCCGTGGTGACGAAGAAGTGGCGAGTGGGGTCGGTGATTTTGAGGACAGGGGCAGTGGTGATGAGCTCCTTGAGTTTGTCGAAGGCGGCTTGGCGGCGGTCTGTCCAAGCGAAGGGTTCGGTGGGACGGGTGAGCTCATGGAGAGGGTAGGAAACATCGGAAAAGTTGCGTACGAAGGGGCGGTAGTAGTTGGCGAGTCCCGTGAAGGAGCAAAGTTGGGTTAAAGTGGTGGGAGGGGGGAACTCGACGAGGGCAGAGACCTTTTTGGGGTCCATGCGGATGCCGTCGGTGGAGACAACGTGACCAAGGTATTCTATGCTAGAGGCAGCAAATGTGCATTTGCTGAGCTTGGCGTATAATTTCTGGTCGCGGAGAATGGCGAGAACTTGGCGGAGATGATCAAGGTGGGACTCGAAGGTGGGGCTAAAAACAAGGATGTCGTCGAGGTAGATCACGACACAGACTTCGAGGAGGTCGCAGAAGATGTGGTTCATGGTGGATTGGAATGTGGTGGGGGCGTTGGTGAGACCGAAAGGCATTACGAGAAACTCGTAGTGCCCGAAGCGGGAGCGGAAGGCGGTTTTGTGGGTGTCCTCCTCGCGGATGCGAATCTGGTGGAAGCCACTGCGAAGGTCGATCTTGGTGAAGTATTTGGCTCCACGGAGGCGATCAAGAAGTTCAGATATCCGAGGAAGCGGATACTTGTTCTTGATCGTGATCCGGTTCAAGGCGCGGTAGTCCGTGCACATGCGGAGTTCCGAGGTGCCGTTCTTCTTGACGAAGAGACAGCTGGTACCGAAGGGGGAGGAGCTAGGCTTAATGAATCCTTTTTCAAGGAGTTCATTGAGCTGGCGCTTCATTTCTTCGGCCTCGGGGACGGAGAGCTGGTATGGGGGGCGGCAAGGGGGGAAGTGGCCGGGCTCGAGATCGATGGTGTGGGAAACACCTCGGTCGGGAGGTAGTCCGGCGGGCAAGGATTCCGGAAACATGTCTTTGAATTCGGATAGGAGGGCGGAGATCTGAGGGTCGGAGGGGGGGTCTTGGTCGGGTTTGTCCGTTGGAAGCAAGTCCTCGGGACGGTCGCGGTCAATGACAAGGCAATAGTAGGCGGAGTCGAGGTGCGCACGGGTCATGTGAAGAAATTGGTGAGGGGAGACGGGGGAAGGGGTGGAGGGAGGGAGAAGGTAGGGGATGTCAAGGGGTGGATCGGGAGGGATGGAGAGGGGGATGAAAGAGGGGTGGAAGGTATAGGGCATGTAGCGGTCGAGCCAAGGAGTCCCGAGTACGATGTCGCACATGAGGTGCATGACATCGAAGGAGACCTGACTGCGAAGAGGGCCGACAGTCATTGTGGTATCGGGGACGGTGCGGTCGACGACAATGGCGGAGTCCTTATCCCCTAGGCGGATGGTGATCGGGGAATCATAGCCGGTGGAAGGGAGGCCGGCTTTGCGGACACAGGCATCCGTGATGAAGTTGCCGGTGGCAGCAATGTCGAGAAGGGCCCGAAACTTCACCGTCGATGCTCCAAAAGAGACGGCGACGAACTTGAGCTGGAACTGGGCGGTTCCGGCACAAACGGAGGAGATCATGGCGTTGAGGCGGCGCTGCTCGAGGCCTAATCTAACAAGCCGAGTGTGTCGGTCTTGTTCCCCAACGAGATCGGAGAAAGTGATGGTGGAGGGGTTGGGGAGGAGGGTAGTGGACCATGTGGCCGTGGGGTGCTCAGCCGACGGAATAGAGGACGTCGTCGGGAGGAGGGCAGGCGGAGTAGACTGCTACGCCTGGGGGGTGTCCGGTGTGTAAGTCGTCGCCGGGGGAGGGATTGGCAGACGAATTGTTGAGGCCAGGACATGGCTACAAGGGGCGGGGGGACAGTGTTTAAGAGCAGGAGGGCCCAGAGGCCGCGGTGGAGGAGGAGGAAGTGGATGTGGGAGGGCTGGATCCGGTGGGGCGGGAAGTCTGGTGGGTGGAGCGGCCGGCCTTGGGGCAATTGGTTTGCTGATGCCCTAGCTGGTGGCAACGGAAACAACCGCTGTTGGCCTGGAGGAAGGCGCGTTCGGCGGGGTCGAGCTTTTTGAGACGAGGGGTTTGGGGGGAGCAGGAAAGCTGGGAGGCCAGGCGTTGCCGTTCCATCCTCATGAGATGGACAGCCTGGAAGTCTTCCTCGGTGAATTGGGCTGGGTCAAGGGACTCGAGAGAGGAGTCAAAGTTGTCGTCGGAGGGGAGTGACGAGTCGTCGGAGACCATGTTGTGGAAGAATCGGGTGCGGTTGGGGGCGGCTGGTCGTTGAGAGCGGAGGTGAGGAAGGCGATCATGGTGGAGAAGGCGGGTAAGGAGAGCGGTGAGAGGGAGCTCGGGCTCATGGGCGAGGGCTGCGGCGAGGTGGGGGAAGCATACCCGCTTGATGCGGGAGTTGAAGACGTAGTCGGGAATAAGAGTTGACGGGATGTGGAGGCGGAGGGAGCGAGCGTAATGGATGAATCGCTCGGTGGGGCCGGTTTGGCAGAGGTTGCAAAATTGATCGATGTAGTCATCGATGGTCTTTTGCGGACGGAAGGTGGCGATGAGAAGGTCGGCCCATTGAAGGAAGGTGATGCGGGGAAGGCCGTTGGCTCGACGGTTGTTGGCTTCGGTTAACCACCATTGAGCGGCGGCGCCTTGGAGGCAGGAGGTTGCGGTGGGGAGCCAATGAGCGAGGGGCATGTTGTGGAGGTCGAAAGCATTTTGGATTTGAGAGAGGAAAAGGAGGACGTCCTTGTGGGGAAGGCCAGAGAACGTCGCGATATCGGTGGCGCAGAAGGAGCGGGGAATGTCCCCGTTGCGAGCGACGATGCAAGCGAGGTTGTTGAAGTTGCGGTTGTCAGGAGAGGTTTCGTAGCAGGTGTGATCCTGACTGCGGTCACCAAGGAGGTAGCAAGAAGGATGTTGGGGTATGGCGGGGTAAACGCCCGGACTTGGGAGTAAGAGGGGTGGACAAAGGGGATGGTGGAAGTAGTTAGGAGAGGTTGGGTAAGGGGGGAGGAGAGGCGAAGGGGAGTGGTTCGCGTAGTGGTGGAAGCGCTTGTAGTAGGTTGTGAGGAGGGGAGGGAAACGGGAAGGGAAGTGACGGGGGTGGAAGAAGGTGTGGTGGAGGACAGCGGGGGGGTGGTGTTGGATGATGAGGCCTGGCCGGCTTGGCCGGCGGAGAGGCTTTGGCCAGATTGGCCGGAGGAGGGGGGTTGGCTATTTTGGCCTGAAGAAGATGGTTGGCCGGTTTGGCCGGCGGGGGTGGATTGGATAGATTGGCCGGAGGAGGAGGGGGGTGGTGACGTCGTGACGACAGTGATGGCGGGTGTGTGGTTTTCGAGGGAGGTGACGCGATCGAATACGGTGGTCACGGAGGCCTCGATTCTGCGGAGCGCGGCAGAGAGTGCTTGAAACATGGAGAGGAGAGATGTGTTCTCCCCGATGCCTGGCTGGTCGACAAGCTCGCGGTGGATATCCTCGACGGAATCCATGCGGAGCGAGCCCATATTGATGCTTGAGGTGCCTTCGGCCATGGGGACGGACGAAGGTGGGGCAGAGGGAGAAGATGGAGTGGAGGGGACAATGG